AGCGCACACACCAAGTCCACCTCGCGCTGACGACTGCATCTGATGCACCACGTCGACCTCGGGATACCATCACCGAGGTCGTCCTTGCCAAAACCACCTGGGCGACCTTCGCAAGCCTTCGCAGCACCTCGTCACCCAGGTAACTTGGTCGACCGGGCAACCAGGTCGACCAGAGGCTCCAGTGCGTGCCCGTCGACCACCCAGGTCGACGACCACTTCCGGTCGACCTCCCAGGTCGACCACTGCCTCTGGTACGTGCCGGTCGACCTCCCAAGTCGACGGCCACCTCCAGTCGACCTCCCCAGGTCGACCACTATCCCCTGGTCGACCAGCTCCAAGTCGACGTCACTCCTGGTCGACCAGAAGGCCTGGTCGACGTCCCTGGTCGACCAGAAGGGCTGGTCGACTTCCCAGGTCGACCAGAAGGTTTGGTCAACATCCCAGGTCGACCAGGAGGTCTGGTCTGGTCTGATGGCAGCTTCTGTTGAAAAGCTAGAAGAGATACATTGAATAATGAGCCAAGAGGCCCTTTAGTACAAACAATGAGCAAGAGAGAGATGAAAGGGAAGCTTACCCTATTGGCCAATAAGTTGGCCAATGGGTGAGCTTGCTTGTGACCCAAGCAACCACAAATGTGTGTTGGTTGGGATTGGTTGAGCTAGGGACCAATCCCAACCAACCACAAAATGTGGTTGGAGGGTACACTAAACAACCCCCCAATTTATAAGTGTACTACAGATCTAATTCTAGCCTATGTATGTTGTACAAATTATGAAATTACAACACAACCCCCCAACATGCATAAGGCTAGAAGGCTAGAATCAAGAGGCGGGAGGCGACTTAGGAGGAGTGAGGCCAAGAAGACGAAGTAGGAAAGAGTGAGCGACATGAGGAAGAGCTTTTGTGAAGATGTCGGCAAGGTTGGCCGCCGAGTCAACCTTGTCGAGCCGAAGGTGCCCCGCCTGAACAAGATCGCGAATGAAGAAATGACGGAGCTCAATGTGCTTGGAACGCCCGTGAAACACGGCATCTTTGGTGAGGTGAATGGTACTGGCATTGTCACACCAAATGGTGGGACAGCGCTGGGGGGCACCAAGTTCCTCAAGGAGGAAGGTGAGCCAGCGGGCCTCTTGCGCAGCCATGGTGGCGGCATACAACTCCGCCTCGCAGGAGGAGAGGGCGACAGCCGAGGAGCGGGTGGAGCGCCAGCTGATAAGGCCGCTGCCAAGAGAGAAGCCATAGCCCTGGGAGGAGCGACGATCTGGCTGGGAATCAGCCCAGGAGGAGTCACTGTAGCCGCTGAGGGTAGGTGGGGAGGGGCCGCCGAGGGTAAGGACATAGTCCTTGGTGCCACGAAGGTACCGGAGGACACGCTTGGCGGCCTGCCAGTGCTCTTCCGTATGCTTGCCTGCGCCAACAAAACGAGCGAGGACGCTGATGGGGTAGGCAAGGTCAGGGCGAGTGGAGACCATGGCGTACATGAGGGAGCCGATGAGCTCGGGATAAGGATGGGAGGAGGCTGAGGGGGAGGTGGGTGGAGAGAGGTGGTGCCCGACAGAAAGAGGAGTAGGTTGGGCGCCGCCGCGGACCATGTCAAACCGCTCCAAGACCTGCTGCAAGTAATGACCCTGGGAGAGAGAGATGGTGCGGGCGGAGCGATCGCGGGTGATTGTCATGCCCAGGTAATGCTGCAATTCGCCCAAGTCCTTGCACTTGAGACGGCTGCCCAACTCAGCCTTAACACGCTCCAACTCGCTGAGGTCGGCAGTGAGTAGAATCATGTCATCGACATAGACAAGGATGTAGAAGGGGGAGGGGGAGGCGCGGAGGAAGAGGCTGGCGTCAGAACGGGAGGTGCGGAATCCAAGTTCAGCAAGGGTGGCGGCAAGCTTAGCATGCCACTCCCTCGGGGCCTGTCGGAGCCCATACACAGGGCGACGCAGCTGCCAGACAGAGTCCGCAGGGAAGGGAAGGTGAAAACCGGCAGGACGCTCCATGTAGATAAGCTCGCGGAGGACGCCTTGGAGGAAGGCGTTAGAGACGTCCATCGAGTGGATCTCCATATTGAGGCGAGCGGCGAGGTCGAGCACGGCGCGAACAGTAGCGGGCTTGGCAGTGGGGGAGAAGGTATCGAAGAAGTCAAAACCATACCGCTGCGTGAACCCCTTGGCGCAGTAACGAGCCTTGTAGACGGGCGGCTCCCCTGGCAGTTGTTTGACGCGAAACACCCACTTTCCCTTCACCACGTTCGTAGAGGAGGGAGGGCGAGGCACATCAACAAAGGAGGAGTTGGCGACAAAGGCCTCCAGCTCCTTGATAATGGCGGCGAGCCAGAGTGGGGCGTCGGGGCAAGCCATGGCCTCCTCATACGTGGTAGGGATGAAAACGGAGGGAGCAGAGGAGAATGCGAAGACAGGTGTCCCAGAAAGGTCGAAGGTGATGGGTAGAAGGGAAGGGTCACAGAGGTGGAGGTCAAGGAACTCCTCATGGGAGTCCTCAGAGAGGGAGGTGTGGAAGGAGCGGATGACCGTTGGTGCCGCTGGTGCTGCTGCACGTGCCGCTGCTGGTGCCGCTGCTGGTGCCGCTGCTGGTGCCGCTGCTGGTGCCGCTGCTGGTCCTGCTGCTGGTGCCGCTGTTGGTGACGCTGCTGGTGCCGCTGCTGGTGCCGCCGCTGGTCCTGCTGCTGGTGCCGCTGCTGGTCCTGCTGCTGGTGCCGCTGCTGGTCGTGCTGCTGGTGCTGCTGCTGGCGCCGCTGCTGGAGAGGTGGCGGCGGGGGCTGCTGCAGGGGGAGGTTGATGCAGAACAGCCTGGAAGAAGTGGTGAAGGAGAGGGGAGAGTGGGGGGAGGGTAGAGGTAGAGAGGGTAACAGGGGGCGGTGCACCAAGGATACTGTCTTGTGACCTGGTATGGGGGTACCGGGTTAATACAGTGCGGGGAGGGGGGGAAGGACGAGTCGGCAGCGAGGGAGGTGAAGGAGGGGCGGGAGGGGCACTAGGAGAGGAATGTGTGGGGGAGACGGGAGAGGACAGAGGTTCCGGGTCAAATATATCACCAGACAAGGGAGGGGCACCGTGGGACGAGGACGACGGTGGGGGAGGGGGAGGGAGGATGGGGGGAGGAGGAAGTAGAGGGGGAGGGGTGGTGTCAGACCAGACAAGGGGACGGGGAAGACGGGGGAGTGGGTCAGTGGATGGGGGAGAGGAGTAGTAAGGAGTGGACTCATCAAAGACCACATCCCTACTGCGGAATAGACGACCTGAGGGGGGATGGAGGAAAAGGTAGTCAGGTGAGGAGGAGTTATGACCAAGAAAGATGCAGGGAAGGGTACGAGGGGCAAGCTTTCCCATAGAACGGGAGCGGTCAGCGGGGTGAAGAAGGACATAAGCCTTTGAGCCCCAGACACGAAGAGATGAGACATCAGGCTTGTTGTTCGTCCACAGCTCAGTGGGGGTGGTGGATGGGAGAAGAGGGTGAGGGTAAAGGTTAGTAAGCAGGGCGGCATGAAGGAGGGCGTAGCCCCACAGAGAAGGAGGGCAGGAGGCGTGGACAAGGAGACACCGGGCAGTTTTGGTGATCTCTCGAACACGACTTTCAGCCACACCGTTCTGCTGTGGGGAGTGAGGGAGGGTGTAAGTCTGAAGAATGCCATGAGACTGGCAATAGGAGGATATTTGGTTGTTAAGGAACTCACCACCACCATCAGAGTGAAGGCGGCGAACAGGGCGCCCAAAATGGGTGTTTGCTCGCTCGAGCCAGGCGATGATCGCAGCCGGGGCATCTGCCTTCGTCCGAAGGAGAGAGACGGACGAGTACCGACTGTGATCATCGACGAGTACGAGGAGGTATCGATGGCCCTGGCGAGTGGGAGAGGGATTGGGGCCCCAGAGGTCCATGTGAACAAGATCAAGTGGCTGAGCAGCAGCGGAGGGGGAGCTCCGGTGCGGCTGCTGCTTGAGCTTGCTCTGAACGCAGACGGTGCAGGGGGGGGCAGGGGATTTGGGGAGACGAGGGAGGGAGGAGGGGAGACCATGGAGGAGACCGGAGGAAACAGAGGAGCGTAGAGTAGCGAAGTTAGGGTGACCTAGCCTGTGATGGAGGAGGACGGCAGGGTGGGAGAGGGAGCGACAGGAGCAAGAGGAGTCAGGGGGGGGGCGTGAAGGGAGGTCCGGGTTAGTGGGAGGGAGAGGAGGGGGTGGGATGAGAGGGTGGAGGGGAGGACGAGAGATGACCTGACAGGAGGGGAGGCGAGGAACACGAAGGGTGTACAGACGGGAGCGAGGGCAAAATGGAATGCGAGAAATGAACTGACCGGTGGCGGAATGGTAGAGAGCGCAATAGTTAGCATAAGCTGGGAATACTGTGGTGATACCGGCTTGTTGAAGGGACCTTTGCGAGAGGAGATTAGCGCGAAGAGAGGGTATGTGGAGACCGGTGACAGTGCCTGAGGGGAAGAGTGGGCAGGGGAGAGTCGAGGTGTTATGGCAGGGGATAGAGAAGCTGCTATCGGCGCCAAGGAGGGAGGTAGGCGTTGGGAGGGGGCGCAAGGTGCCAGCATCGCGAAGAACTGTGTCAGTGGCACCGTTGTCAAGGACAAAGTCGACAGTGGAGGGGAGGGAGGAGGAAGGGACAGAGGACTGGAACGCAGTTTCTTTAGTGCTAGAGGAGTATGTGGCAGGGGCAGCTGATGTGGCTTGATTGACCATACCAGCAATACCAACGGATGAGAGAGGTGGGACATTGCTTGAAGTGGCGGAGCTTGTGGAACAATGCGGAACTGAGTTCTGCTGGGAAGTTGGGGGAGGAGGAGGAAGAGGCAGCTGCGCTTGTGCGCTAAGGTGCTGCTGCAGGCGGTGAAGCAACTGCTGGAGCTGGAGGAGGAGGTGCCAGAGCTGCTGGTGCTGGTGGTGGTGCTGCTGCTGCTGCTGCTGCTGCTGCTGCTGCTGGTGGTGCTGCTGCTGCTGCTGCTGAGGAGGAGGAGGAGAGAAGGGTGGACTCGGGGCATGGTGGGCTTGGGTGGAGATTTTGCACTGAAGTCCCCGAGTCGGGCCATAGCGAGGCACATATTCACGAGGAGAGAAGGCTGCTGCTGCGCCGCAGCCTGCGCTCAAACCCCTGATACCACAATATCCTGCGAGTCTCCCTTGACCACCACCACAGCTACCACTATGCCCTCCTCCATGCCCACCGGCACCACTTCTGCTGCATGCCAGGGCGACTATTGCCATGGAGGGAGCAATGTGAGTGTGGGCGGTTACGGCATGGCGCAGGCGAGCAGGGCATGAAGGTGTGCGGTATGCGTTTGCAAATGTGCGGTATGCCGGGGAGGTGGGCAGGGGGCGGACGAGGGGACGGGGGACAGCGAGCGGGGAAGGAGGGCGTGCGACGAGTGCGCGGACGGGGAGGGCGCGGACGAGCAGGGCGCGCGGACGGGCAGGGCGCGGACGAGCAGAGCGCGCGGACGGGCAGGGCGCGGACGAGCAGGGCGTGCGGACGGGCAGGGCGCGGACGAGCAGGGCGTGCGGACGGGCAGGGCGCGGACGAGCAGGGTGTGCGGACGGGCTGGGCGCGGACGCGAAGGGCGGACGAGCAGGGCGCGCGGACGGGCACGGCGCGGACGAGCAGGGCGCGCGGACGGGCACGGCGCGGACGAGCAGGGCGCGCGGACGGGCAGGGCGCGGACGAGCAGGGCGTGCGGACGGGCAGGGCGCGGACGAGCAGGGCGTGCGGACGGGCAGGGCGCGGACGAGCAGGGCGTGCGGACGGGCAGGGCGCGGACGAGCAGAGATGGGCGCGAAATGGTCAGATTTCAGCGCGGGAGATGCAGATCTGGTCGCGCGGAGGGCAGATCTGGGCGCGCGGAGGGCAGATCTAGGCGCGCGGAGTGCAGATCTGGGCGCGCGGAGTGCAGATCTGGGCGCGCGGAGTGCAGATCTGGACGCGCGGAGTGCAGATCTGGGCGCGCGGAGTGCAGATCTGGGTGCGAAATGTTCAGATCTGGGCGCGGGAGGAGGAGATCTGGTGGCGCGGAATCCAGATCTGGGCGCGGAATGATCAGATCTAGGCGCGGGAGGAGTAGATCTGGTCGCAGGGAGTGCAGATCTGGGCGCTGGAGTTGCAGATCTGAGCGCGGGGAATGCAGATCTGGGCGCTGGAGTTGCAGATCTGAGCGCGGGGAATGCAGATCTGGGCGCTGGAGTTGCAGATCTGGACGTGCCTTGGAGGGCAGCGCCTTAGGGGGCGCACGGGGAGGGAGGACAGCGCCTTAAGGGTGCGTGAAGGGAGGGCAGCTCCGTGGGTGGGGCTAGATCTGAGGAACGGGGAGGAATAGATGTGAGCTCGGGAGGAGTAGATCTAAGCTCGGGAGGAGTAGATGTGAGCTCGGGAGGAGTAGATCTGAGCTCGGGAGGAGTAGATCTGAGCTCGGGAGGAGTAGATGTGAGCTCGGGAGGAGTAGATCTGAGCTCGGGGGGGATAGATCTGAGCTCGGGAGGAGTAGATGTGAGCTTGGGAGGAGTAGATCTGAGCTTGGGACGAGTAGATGTGAGCTCGGGAGGAGTAGATCGGAGCTCGAGAGGAGCACCGTAGTAGGACTAGGTCTGAGGGACGGGGAGGAGAGGGTGGCCTTAGGATCGAGGGATTAAGGCGTGAGCCAATAGCTCATGATACCATGTTGAAAAGCTAGAAGAGATACATTGAATAATGAGCCAAGAGGCCCTTTAGTACAAACAATGAGCAAGAGAGAGATGAAAGGGAAGCTTACCCTATTGGCCAATAAGTTGGCCAATGGGTGAGCTTGCTTGTGACCCAAGCAACCACAAATGTGTGTTGGTTGGGATTGGTTGAGCTAGGGACCAATCCCAACCAACCACAAAATGTGGTTGGAGGGTACACTAAACAACCCCCCAATTTATAAGTGTACTACAGATCTAATTCTAGCCTATGTATGTTGTACAAATTATGAAATTACAACAGCTTCCCCTCGTAAGTGGCACTTCTATGGTGAAGTGAAGTGCAGGGCGAGGCAGAGGACATGTGGGGTGGGCTGCTGCTTGCTGGGGGGCCGACCACCAAGAGCTTAAGAAGATGGACCACTGCTGTGCTTTGCTTGCTTATCTGTCCTTAGGTGTGCCAAGGTTTGCTTACGTGTGCTTAGGTTTTGATAGGTGTGTTGTGCTGTGCCGGGCTGGGATGGGCCTGCATATTGTGGAATAGGTGGGTGGGTGGGGTGGGCAGGGCAGCCTTGAAGGTGCCTGGGCACAAACATTCACCCAAGCAGGTGCTGTGCCGTGCCAGGCAGCCATGCAGTGGTGAAAAGAACGTGGAAACGCAGGGCACTGATGCACGCGCTGCATGCATGCACATGCAGAACAAGCTGCCACAAAGAAGTCACAAGGAGACAGGCAAACCCCCAACACACAGGTGTTCATGGCAAGTATTGACAGGAAGCAGGATTGTCACAAGTGTTGCCTACCAGCCAACTAGCTAACCAGCCTGCCTCAGCCATCCAGAAAACAACACTCCACTCCAGCAGCCTGCCTACCCCAGGTCCTTGCATACTGGCCTCAATAATCAACAACAGGGCATATGTACACTTTTTGAATCCAGAACTGCCTATGTACAGCCAGTGTACACCCGTACTGACAACAAATGATCAATTTTTGCTCTTGCACACTCCCGCTCGCCTCGCTCTGCCATGTCGTCTGACAAATCTCGGTGAACCTCGCCACTTCATCAGTAATCGTCTCTCGTCAATGATCGGCTTCATCAGTGGAATCTCTTCTGTCCCGTGAATCGTCTCGCCGTTTCCTCTCGTCTTCAGCTTACGCGCATGCTCGGTGCCGTTGAGTAGTCGCGAGCTCGCCGTCGCGTCGGAATCGAGGCAGCCATGGCGGCGCGGCTCGCCGCTTCAACGGCCGTCGCAGCGTCGTTTCGTCAAATTCTGTTCTCCAACGTTGTAGCGTCACCCTCCCATCCCGCCATCGCAGCGTGCGAGATTGTGTCGTTTCGCCACGCTCTGGTTACCAATGCCTTCGCCATGCGACCGCCGCTAGTCGCATGCGCGCTGCTCCATTGCGCCTCCCCTGCCGTCGATTCGTCTCACGTAAACTCAAATCCGATCCGTTCGACCAGCAGGCGCGGCGATTCCCGTTCTTCCGCATGTAGCGGCGAACGCGCGTTCCCCTCCGCACGCGTGTTCCCCGTCGCTCTAGTCTCCGTTTCCCTGCGGCCATCCCGTCTCCTAGACTCGCCTGTCAGGAAATCGGCCATTCCTTTGGCCGTCGATGCCGCTCTCGGCATTCCCCAGGCCGTCGTTGCGCTCCCCCACCTTTTCCGCGCCTTCCGCTTCTTCCGCCTTCCGCCGATCGCTTGGGTGGGAGAGTCAGTCCAAGGGAGATTAATCCCTTGGGGTGGTGAGTGAGAGGAAGGGGGGTAACCACTTAGTTGGGTTGGGTTGGGTGTTTTTAAGGGAGGGGGCCGTTTGCCTTCTTGAAGGGGTAAGTGAATCATAAGGAACTGAGACCCCTAGGGTGGGTGAGTGAGAGGGAATGGGCTTGAAACCCTTTCCACGAGTGAGGGAGAGGTAAGGTGCCTGAAACCCCATGGATGGGAGAGTGAGAGGAAAGGGGCCTGAAACCCCTTGGGTGGGTGAGTGAGAGGGAAAGGGAACATATTATTATGGGTGAGTGGAAAGGAATGTGAATGAGAAGGGGAAGGGGAAGGGGGCTGTAATGTAATCCTCAGAGTGAGTGGATGCACATGGTGAGTGGGAAGGGAAGCCAGTTGCCAGATCAGGAAGCGACTTGAACATTCCTTTTTAGGAAGGTCTTACATTGCTTTGCTGCCGCATTCTGATGCCTGGTATATGTGTTGTGCAAAGCTCCTTAATACCGAACATGTTCCTTACCGTTGTGCATGTGGACAGGGCATGGTTTTGCTGGCTGAACATGGTCACGAGGATTGGCCGTTCTTCGTTGTGGCCAGATATGCTGGGAGTGCTACGAAGCTGAACAACCTGTTTAATGCCTAATATGTGTAAATCCTTTAGATTGCTACGAAAGGTGTACCTTTTCGACCAACTGATTTAACAGAAACGTGATTGTATGTTTTTGTTCTATTATATAACTAACATATTCAGAGAGGAATGAGGAATGTTTTCTAAACCACCTGAAACCGTTGAACACCATCGTGTGTGCCGTCATCCTCCCTCAACACAAACCGCCAAACACCGTCGGGCAAGATATTGTATCTGATCTGACCCGCTCAAGCATTCGGGGCTTGACAGTGTACAAATCGGACGGCCCACCATAAAACCCAACCTAACCCATGTTTGTTCAGGTCAGGATTCACGGGGAGGATGGATGGTGATTCGAGGAACCACAATCCAGCGCAGACCTTGTCAGGCAGGAAATATCCAGAACCCAGTTTGTGTGGGATCTTGTTGCCACGTCATCCTTCACGCACTGATTCACCCCATCCCCCACTGATCACTTGACTTGCTAAGCAGAGCCATATCAGTGACAATGAGCCAGTCACAAGAAAGTTACATAGAGTCCTTCGCCACATGCTTCTTATCGAAACTTCGCCAGTCTGACTCTTCGCCACCACAGTTTCACCCGAAACTGAACTGGTTTTGCAGGCAACCAGCCTCACGCAAACCAGTTCTTCCCGCCTAGCTGGGAGAGGAGGCGAGCGATTTCACTTGCAATCACAACGGCTCTCTTACATGGCTAGGCTTCGCTGGCCTCTCATTGGTAGCACCGACAGTTCGAATTTGAGCGTCGCGGCGACAGATGTGGAGCTGACGGAATGACGGACCCAACCGATAGATCTGCAGATCGACGGTCGATAGTCACCTGCTTTACGTTCGCTCGTTCATGACCCTGTTTCCCGCTTCCGTTAACGGACCCTTTCTGGGGAAATCTCTGGATTCTCTTTTTCGGTGCAGCCGCTTTACGGCGATGACTACACGTGACGAATGTAGCGCAAACGGAGCTTTCCATTCCACCGGAACCACACATTCATGTGACACGTTGGAACTACGAGCTACGGTTCGGATTGATTCCAGACCCACCTTTCCTCAGAGATGATGATCTCTGAACCGTTAGATTAGTTTTTTTAGAAACCACCGTCATTCCGAGGGGATAGTGAGCCTCACTCAATCCGTAACCCCCTCGTCTCGTTCTGGCTCATTTTCGACTCAATTTCTCTCCAACATGGTTCGTTCTGCTCGTTTCCAGCCAAGGTTTTCCCGCTGAGTGCATTCTCTTTCGTCTTCCTAGCGAAGCTCTTTCATTTTGTTTCCGAGCGTCGCAACTCTTCGATCACATTGAGTTGTTCCTAGATCGACATTAGGATTTTTTTCTAATCAGCAGCCAAATCCGGCAAGCTGCACTCAGTTCGTTTTGAAGCTGCAGCCTCCGAATCGGTGCGTATTTCGTCGCCGATTTATCATTTCTTGTTAGTTTTGGCTCGTATTTCCGATGTACGTTTTTGCTGAGCAACTGCGTTCTTACGCTGTGCAGGTTTCCTGAACGTTCGCAGTTTTCTTAAACTCCTTTTCGACACACTTGAACGATTTCGTCAAGTCGTCGCCAAGCTGCAGCCAATACGTCGCCAAATATCAGCGATTTCTGGTGAGCGTCGTTCCTTGCTCCATTTTCAGTCAGATCGTCATCGTTTCTAGTGATGTCGCAGCCAATCTGTACCTCGCTATGAATCCATTGATCTGTTTTCGCGTTCAACTGTGCAGGTTCTGCTCACGCTGTCACACCCAGCGAACAATTGGTGGCTGCGACCAATGTGACTGGGCGTCGCCAACCTGCGATTTCGCGATTTCTGGTGAGTGATGAGTCATTCGAGAACTTCCAAGTCTGTTCATGGTTGGAATATAACTCCGCTTTATGTTGACTGCCATGTGCAGTTTCGATCTTCAAGGGGATCAGTGTTGTCACTGCGAGGCGTTGCAAGTGGGATGCTGCAGGGGAGCAGCGACTGTCACACTCACTCCACCTGCCTCGGATCATCTCCGCACCAACCCTTTCTGCGCCAACCCTTTCCAAAGCTAAGTTCCATACACTCCATGACCTCACCTGGCCTTTCTCTTCTGCCGCTTCTGGCCTGGCATGCTTTTGCTCTTGCTGCAAGGGGACTCGTTCAGGAATTAAGCCACTTCCCCAGGTAACAGATAGCAGGTTCAGCCTAAGGTATAGCAGGTGCGCTTCTCCTCAGGTATTTACCGCCCAGGTGTGGTACCACGTGGTAGAAACCCTTGGTCGTGTCCCCCTTGCAGCCAGTGCTTTTCACCTTTCTTTCTGCTTCATCTGATTGTGTTTTTTTTAAATATCTTCAACGTCTTTCTTCCTCGCATCTTGCTGCGTTGCACTCACCTCTCCCGTATGTGCCTCCTCCTCCCTCTCTGCGGCTCACATGGCGTGGCGGCAAGGGGGGGAAGGCATGGAGAACCGACGCAGCGGGGAGGCAGAGTGGCAACATGGTAGATTTGTGGAAGTGTCTTTCGCTGGCAGCAGCAACTGCAGCAGCAGCAGCAGCAGCAGCAGCAGCAGCAGCAGCAGCTGCACCCACAGCTAAGTACCCGCACACCTGTGTTGCTTTTCGTGTCTTGCATCATGATCCCTTCTTTACTGCTCTGTGCCCCACTCAAGAGACCTCCCTCCCCCAAGGTAGCAGGTATAAAACTTTGGTACAGCCTCAGGTATTTGTTTGTTTTTGGTTCAGCCGGTACGAGGTCTCTTGGGTGTGCCACCACTGCAGTCCATTCCTCATCTCACTCTTGCTCCCACTTCTCCCGCTGCTTTCACCTCGTTCCTCACGACCCTCCACTCTCCTCCCACCCCTCCCCACGCTCCCATCCCTTCCCTGCTAGGCGAGCCCAAGGCAAGGGGAAAGCAGCAGGCGAGCAGCAGGCGAAGGGAGCACCAGGACCGGCAGCAGGAGCGCGGGCAGCGGGGCAGCAGCGCCGGCCTCATCAACGGTTGAGGTTGCAGTATCGCCCCTGCCACCACACTCCACTCGAGCCCACTCCCCCTCAGGTTCAGGTTCAGGTTCAGGTGCAGGTTCAGGTTGGTAGCGGCTCTTGTGGGGTTGTGGTTGGCGTCACATGCACTGTCGTTTCTGCTGTTGCACGTGTGTTTGACACTTTTCTCCATTGCAACCCCTCTTACTTTCGGCTGCCTTTCCTTTCCGCCCTCCCTCCCCTCCCCTCCCTTCCCTGCCAGGCCTTCACAAGCCAGGGGGACGGCAGCAGGCGAGCAGCAGGCGAGGGGAGCACCAGGGCGGGCAGCAGGAGCGCGGGCAGCGGGGCAGCAGCGCCGGCCTCATCAACGGTTGAGGTTGCAGTATCGCCCCTGCCACCACACTCCACTCGAGCCCACTCCCCCTCAGGTTCAGGTTCAGGTGCAGGTTGGTAGCGGCTCTTGTGGGGTTGTGGTTGGCGTCACATGCACTGTCGTTTCTGTTGTTGCTCGTATCTTTGACACTTTTCTCCATTGCAACCCCTCTTACTTTCGGCTGCCTTTCCTTTCCGCCCTCCCTCCCCTCCCCTCCCTTCCCTGCCAGGCCTTCACAAGCCAGGGGGACGGCAGCAGGCGTGAAACAGGCGAGGGGAGCACCAGGGCGGGCAGCAGGAGCGCGGGCAGCGGGGCAGCAGCGCCGGCCTCATCAACGGTTGAGGTTGCAGTATCGCCCCTGCCACCACACTCCACTCGAGCCCACTCCCCCTCAGGTTCAGGTTCAGGTGCAGGTTCAGGTTGGTAGCGGCTCTTGTGGGGTTGTGGTTGGCGTCACATGCACTGTCGTTTCTGCTGTTGCACGTGTGTTTGACACTTTTCTCCATTGCAACCCCTCTTACTTTCGGCTGCCTTTCCTTTCCGCCCTCCCTCCCCTCCCCTCCCTTCCCTGCCAGGCCTTCACAAGCCAGGGGGACGGCAGCAGGCGAGCAGCAGGCGAGGGGAGCACCAGGGCGGGCAGCAGGAGCGCGGGCAGCGGGGCAGCAGCGCCGGCCTCATCAACGGTTGAGGTTGCAGTATCGCCCCTGCCACCACACTCCACTCGAGCCCACTCCCCCTCAGGTTCAGGTTCAGGTGCAGGTTCAGGTGCAGGTTGGTAGCGGCTCTTGTGGGGTTGTGGTTGGCGTCACATGCACTGTCGTTTCTGCTGTTGCACGTGTGTTTGACACTTTTCTCCATTGCAACCCCTCTTACTTCCGGCTACCTTTCCTTTCCTTTCTGCCCTCCCTCCCCTCCATCCCCTGCCAGGCCCTCACAAGCCAGGGGGACGGCAGCAGGCGAGCAGCAGGCGAGGGGAGCACCAGGGCGGGCAGCAGGAGCGCGGGCAGCGGGGCAGCAGCGCCGGCCTCATCAACGGTTGAGGTTGCAGTATCGCCCCTGCCACCACACTCCACTCGAGCCCACTCCCCCTCAGGTTCAGGTTCAGGTGCAGGTTCAGGTGCAGGTTCAGGTGCAGGTTCAGGTTGGTAGCGGCTCTTGTGGGGTTGTGGTTGGCGTCACATGCGCCGTCATTTTGCACTCACACTGCTGCCTGTCTTCTCGTTTAGAAGAGTCACTCCCTCCCACCTGCCTCTTACTATCTCTCTCTCTCTCTCTCCTTTCTCCCTTCTCTGCCTCGCAGGTCCGTCCCTTCAAGCCCCGCTCGCCCTGCCCACTCGCCATTGAAGCACCCATCCCTTCTGCCTGCACCACACAATCAGCTAAGTACCTGTTCCCCCATGCCCGCACACTTGCCTGCCATACTGTTTCTTTGTTTTATCTGCTGTTGCACCGTCTTCTTGAAACAATGCCCTTGGTTGAGCGAGGTTCAAATGCTACAGACCCCCACACTTCAGGTAACCCTCTCAGGTGCAGGTACACCCCTCAGGTTTTTTTTCAGGTGCCCTTGGGTCTGTAGCTTGCAGCCGTGCCTCAACC